CGCCCAGGTGGGACGTGTCTGGATGGTGCCCCACCCAAGGGACCAGCTGGAACCAGGCCGAAGAGTGGGCGGCGCCGTTCGGGAGCATGGCGCGCGGCAGTATCCACTTTGGCCCGGCGGCGTCCACCGCGAGCGTGCCGGCAGAGGTGCTGGCCAGCACGCCCGACTACCCGTCGTACGTGGTTGGCTCCGTCGACCAAGGCACGGGCGATGCCTGCCTGCTGGACGGAACCTGCTGCCTCGACAAGGACAACCAGCGTGCCGGCTCGTGGCGGAGCTGCGCGGGCGGCTGCGAGAACTCCGCCCTGCCCGAGCTGAACGTCGGCAGCGAGGCGCGGACCGACGTGGAGGGGTGCTGCTGGTGGGGTCGTGGCGCCATCCAGACAACCGGCGTGTGCAACTTTGGCAAGCTAAACTACTTTGCGGGCAAGAAGGCGGCGCAGCGCGGCAAGGACGCCCTCTTCCCCGACGTCGACTTTTGCGCCAACCCGGGCGCGATCTGCCAGCCCGAGTACCCGGAGCTGCGCTGGTTCTCGGGCCTCTTCTACTGGCTGAACGACGTGCAGCCGTACGACGTGCGCGGCGAAAGGTACCTCGACGTCCTAAGGGATTGGGTGGACAACGGGATGGACCCGAGCGACCACAGCCTCGTCGATTTTGCGTCCGGCGTCGTCAACCGCGGCTGCCACGACGCGCCGTTCGAGGGCATCGGCGGCGCCGATCCGTGCGGCAACGGCGAGATCCACGCCTGGGAAGAGCGCCGGATGAACTTCAAGCACATCTGGGGCGTGCTGAGCCCGCTGCTGCCGACGCGCCGCCGCTCCTTGCTCCTGCAGTGAAATGCTCGATGTCTATTTGTTCACTACTGCTGCTGCTGTTGCTGCTGCTTACGTATGTCTTCGCACTTCGGTACCCGCGGGGTCCCCGCGCATTGGCGCCACCCGACCTCGGGCCCAGCGGGTCATACAGTATCGTTCAACATTTTTGTGCATTATTGAGAGCCTGATTCGAGTTGTAGCCAGAAGAGAATCTCGCGCAGATAGTTTGTCAGTGAGTCAGAATGTCGGTAAGTCGTGTGTCGTGTGTCGTGGTCTCGTGCTTGATAAAAAGTCAGAATGCGGCGGCAGCCGGCACACCCTGTCGCAAACTCGAAACACGAAAGGAAGGGGGGTCGTCAAGGATCGCAAGGATCAACGGACAACGGTCTGTCACATAGGTCATAGCGCGGTCAGATCGCCCAGGTAGTCTCGACCGCTTCATTGCCGCGATCAAAACTAGGTACACGCCACACTCCAGACGACATGTACTCTCCCACCCGACAACCGGCAAAACGCTGTCGTGAGCCAGCCGCTACCTTTTGCGGCAGCCGACCGCGGAGGTCGAGCGCGCCGCGTGCGCGGAGATCGACATGGCGAGGCGACCGTCATCCCGTACAATGCCGCTGGCGTGTCGGCGCGAGCCTGCGGCTCGGTGGAGGGCTCCACGGCCTGGCGCGGCGGAGGTGCGCCGACTGCACCACTCCAGACACCGCTCCTGACTCGGGAGTGCATATGAAAACCGGGCGGGAGTGTGCATTTCATATGAGGAGGCGTGCACGGGGGCGTGCCCCCGGAGCACCGCTCCCGTGCGATATGAGGAGGCGTGCACGGGGGCGTGCCCCCGGAGCACCGCTCCGGTGTCGGGAGGGGGCCGCACACGGGAGCCGGGGTGCGTTCCCACGGGGGCTGCGTTCCCACGAGCTGGCCACACCTTCCTAGTGTCGCGCTTGAGTGTTAACAATGGCGCGAGGAGGAAGGCTCGCTTCTTGCTCCGGTAGATCTGGCGCATTTCTTCAAGCACGACGGTTGTGCCGACGGCGAGAGAGATGAAGCAGATGACCAGGAGCGTCAGTCAGGATCGAGAGCGTGTCGATCTGGAGCTGCTGGAGCCTCCCGTCGACGGCGTCGTCGCAGCTGGTGGTTCCACTCTCGAACGTCGGAGGGATAAGTGAGTACCTGTGAGTGATTTGCCAACAACAAACCGTCCCAGCTCCACTCATCCCTCTCTCGCCATCGCCTGCAGGTGCAGGGGAAGCACGAAACGGAAATTGATGGGCTTGCCCATCCCGGAGTGGTTCGACTCCACATAAATCCGAGGCAGGCGGTGACGGGATGCTGTCGTACGATGCTCGATGCTAACAGGCCCAGTGAGGT